CTCTAGGTTTCTTGTATTTCTTCAGGAACTCAGTCTTGAAAGTCAAGGCTATTTAGAGTTCCTCTGTAGCCCAACAGCAATTACAGCTGTCTCCAGTACTCTAACCCAACAGACGCTCCATAAATAAAGGCTTAATTAAAAATGTTTGGGGTCTAAGGGTGGATTCGATGTTGGCATCCCTGTACACTAAATACAGTGCAGCAGCCAGCTGAACAAGTATGTCTCTGTGGCTCTAGGTAGTGATAGAGTACCAACGAAAGCATGGCTTGTAAATCTTCATGTTTTTTATGCCAAGCAAGAGCTGTAACAGACTTGGTTTGCCGGCTTTGTTCACGTTTTTGTTATATATATATATATATATATATATATATATATATATATATATATATATACATATATATATATATGTAGATAGATAGAGAGAGAGAGAGAAACTGTTTATTTCCTATCAACCTTATTTCAATTCTGTTAAGAGTGTGGAAGAACAGCTTAAGAGCACTCAGTGGTTGTTCCAACCCATTTAGTGACAAGTAATACACATTCTCAGCTAAAATACACGAGCTCATTTTACTGCAGTCACAGGCCCTCCTCCCCTAGAACAGGGTGCGGGAGAGGAGGGGGAGTTAGGGAAGCAGGGTGGAAATCCCCAAGTTGCAAGGCACTCCCACCATCTTGCCAGCACAGGCTAATGCTGGGGAAAGGGAAAAGAAGGGTATGGTCCCCTAGAAACCTGAGGAAAACTGCAGAGTTCAGGGTAGGCTGCACATTAGAATCACAAGCCAGCTTTAAAAATAAAAAGTACCCTTATTTAGGCCCAATCCAAAATAATTAAAATTTATTTCCTGGGCATCTGTAATTTTTAAAAAGCCCCTGGGTGATTGTGGTGCTTAGTTAGAGGTAAGAGGCACTGTGACTTTCTACATAGTAATAGGATAGGATAGAGTTGGAAGCCTGGGGCCATGGATCTGAAGGGAGGTTTCTGATTTTGCCCCTAACTCTTAAGACCTGATGCCTTAGTTTGCTGGGCCAGTCCTGGGTCACACTGTTATCTTGGAAAAATTACCAATAGCTCCCACTTTCACTCTTGGAAGAGCCCAGGGTTAGATGGTAAATTATATGGTCCCCTTATACATATCAAACAAGGAAAGCCAAGCCAAGCCTAGACTAGCATTGTATTTTCCTGGGATTCCTTCCAACAGCAATTTTAATATTCTTTCACTCTCTTCTTTTTTCAGATGTCTTTGTTTCTAGTCCTTTCTTTTTTTCTCTTTCATCAGATAAGGTTTAAGCATGCTCCAAACTGTCCATTTCCACACTCTCCCTCCTCGCCACATCCTGAGAATCTCCCCCCTTTGTTTCCACACTTGCAGCGTGCAGGTGGAAGCTGAAGCTTAAAGAAGATTTTATCTCATTTGTTCTGTTAAAGGGCAAGAAGAGAAAGAAATATCCTGAAGCTCTGTGGCTTTTCTCCAGACCTGCAATGACTAGAGAAATGTTCTATCAAGTACAGTGCCCACAAGGAAACCATTGCAGCTGCTGAGTGTAGGAGACACTGTCAGAGACTCACAAAACTGTGGGTCTCGAACCACCGCAGACAGGAGGAGGAGAAGACATGGGTCTTGCAGATTCATACAGAACACAGACTATCCGCAAAGCACACAAAGGCCAGTAGCTGGCATCTACATCTTTCCTATCCTGATCTTTCTTCTGGTTTAGGCCCTAGGCTTTGAATCCCAGTGCCTGTATCCGAAGCTCCCTGTATCTTGGTACTGGGTTTGTTTCCCTCACCCCCAACCGCCCCCCCCCTTTGCCTCCCATTGTAATTCCAACACATTGCAAACACCAGCACCCCCTTCCCCCACGACCCCTGCAGCCTTGAGCTGACTCCTAACCCGCAAAGCTGCTCCTGGGTTCCATTTCCAAGAACACAGGCCAAGACTAGGAACTACCACTTGGGGCAAAGTGTGATACATAGGCGAGTTGATTTCTCTCCATTTTTACTACTTGGCCTGCTCTCTTCTCACCAATGTTCAGAAGATTTCTTTGCAGGGCTGATACTGGGAAGCACACTGGAGACTCAGAATCTGTTTTCCCTGTGAAGTCTGATTCTTTCATGACCCCTCCCCTTCCATTCAATCACAGCTCAGGCTCTCCATTCTCATGTTTTCTACTGCCCTCCTAAACAGCCTCAGCTCTCCAGTTTATTTCAAATATAAGTTGTTAAATTAGTTTATGAGCCAAGATTAGGTTAAACTAACTACCTGTATTTGCAGGTACAGAACTCAATGGTAATGGAGCAGGGGTTGCAAACTCAAAGGACCACAGGGGATAGACAACAGGATAACTGAGTAAGGCAGGCTGGGTGGGAACTAGGGCAGGCTGGCATGAGCCTGCCCTGTCTCAGATGTCTAGCTGCTAGTCTCTTGCAATGAACTGTTGCCATGGAGGAATGCTGTCTCCAGTGCCCGATTTTTCCATTTTTTTCCAGAAAAAAAAAAGGGATATCCAGATTCTCATGATGAATCTATTAATTTTTAAAAAGTTTATTTATTTATTTTTAGAGAGGGGAAAGGAGAAAGAGAGGGAGAGAAACATCAATGTGTGGTTGCCTCTCTCGGACACCCTGCTGGGGACCTGGTCTGCAACCAGGCATGTGCTCTAGGCTGGAAATTGAATTGGCGAACTTTTTCAGGCCAGCACTCAATCTACTGAGGCACACCAGCCAGGGCTGAATCTATTAATTTTTTAAATATTGGCAGCTAATACTTTAAATTTTCAATTTTTTCCTGGCTAAACAAAACGTATCTGCACATAGGATCTAGATCTCTGGCTGCCAGTTTTCAATGACTTTTCTAGTGCATATGTGTGTTCCGTGCCTTTGAGGGGGCTCCAACTCCTGGCAACTCTGTGAATGAGTGACCGCCACAATGTCCTGTCCCCACAGCTCTGCTCAGCTCCTGTAGACTCATGCCTGTGGCTTCTTTAATTGAGTCAATCCATTTGTTCCTCCTCTTTTCCTTCTGCCGTCTATTTTCCCAGCATTATTGTCTTTTCCAAAGAACCCTGCCTTCTTATGCTGTGCACAAAGTAGGACACCTTCTAGGATATCCTCAGGCAAACTTTTGTGTAATGTGATTTTTAGATGAAAAATCATCTGAGGCAACCCCATATGAAATCAAGAGTTGTGAAATTCTAAAGGGTATTCTCACAATCTGCATATGATGGTATTTATGTTTTAAAAACAACATTAGCAACAATAGGAATTCCTATTAGGTGACAAACAGCCACTTAAGAAAATCTCTTAATGAAAGGAGATTTGAAACATTCCATAAGAGGTCCACTGTGCATGCTTTTGTGCCTGAACACTTCATTTTTCATAAACAAAAAGCCCTCTAATTGTCTTCTATTTTAAAACAACTTCATCAGCAAAGATCCTGAGGAGGTAGTTAGAGGGTAGATAATGACACTATACAAGTTGGCAGTGAAATCAGTTAATCTCTTATGTCTTATGACAGTTTACATTTTGAGTGACAACTGAGGTTATCTACTTTGCAAATATTGTAGTTTTATTCTTGAGCAAGGTGATAGGAAAAGAAATCATTTCCCACTATTACTGGACATTTTCTTTTTAAAAATATCAATATGCAATGTTTTACTATTTCAACAAATTCAGTAGTTTGAAATGCAACATATTTCAATAGATGGGAGAGCAAGAAAATAGCCAAATGACTAAAGTCTAGAGCACGGTTTTTCTACCTCAGTACTAGTGACATTGGAGAGGCTGTGTGGTATACTACACACAGAGGCAGTACACTTTGATGCAGAGGCTGTATGGTACACTACAGGCTGTTCAGCAACATCCCTGACCTCTACCTGCTAGAGGTCAACAGTCCCCTCCCTCACTTGTAACAACCAAAAAGTATCTCCAGATACTGCCAAACATCTCCTGGGGACCAAATTTGCCCCCTATTGAGAACCATTGCTCCAACAGAAATGTTGAACATCACAGCTTGGATTTTGATTTTCAAAAAACGTCTTAAATGGAGAAAGACATTGGAGAAGTCAGCATCACTGCTGACTTACACTTAAGTCCTCAGGGAACTTTGGGGATAAGGAGGGAGGTCTCTGAGGCAAGAGCAGCGAATGTGTGCTGACAAGAAAGTCACTGTGGGGGCAGGTGGGGGCAGCTCTAGATGTGAAATCCACTCTTCCTGACAACAATGCCCAATAAGCAGAAACCGATAGAGATCAGTTGGACCCGGCAGCAACATCTGGTAGGTTCTAAACTATACATGGGGAACTCCTGCCAAGTCTGGCCAAGTCTGAGGTGGATTTTCAACATATTGAAGCATGGGATGACACAAAACAGTTCAATATTTAATGGGGCATCCTTTTTTTCATTTTGGAAAGAAAACATTTTTCCAGAAAAACATGAAAGGTTGTAATAGTGGTTTGAAATCAGTAACCCTCAATTTTTTCTTTGCGGTTATAGAAGAAATCATCAATTCCATTTCTCAATAGAACCTCATAAACACAACAGGCCAAATGCCAGAGCAGAAATTAAATGGCTGTGGATCCTCAAGGGAAGACATACTTTCACTATGAAGTATTCACACCAAACCTTGAGAACTTACAGCAAAGAGAGTGAGCTAGAGCACGTGGTATTCACATTTGCTGCTTTGAAAATGCTGTTTGTCAAAATAACTACAATTTTTAAAACAAAAAGACAACTTAATTTTTACTCTATTGCTTTTCTGTCTTGTAGGAACTACAAAAAGTAAGTTCACTAAGTTTTTGGTTGAGTTTTAGTTCATTTAACTTGTTTTACACAGTTAAATGTTTCAAAATGGTATCTTCTACTCCTTTTTTTTATTTTTGAAGGTTTCAAATGTACTGTATTTCTTCAGTCATGCCATATTTTAACGGGTACACAGTGCTTTCACTTGGCATCAGTTATGAGTTGGTTTTGAGACACTTAATTTTTACACCAGCTAGGACGATTACCAATATCTCCATTCCTTTGGGGTGACTCTGCCAACAGGGGACAGGTTCCATTCTACTCCAGTCTGTGTGGCTGTATGTGCCGCTGCAGGAACACAGAAAGTGGCTCCACTGGCTAATACAGCATTACCATATTTGTCATGGAAATCAGGTGTCCATTTCTGCTTGGCCTGCCTTGCCATTATTTGCTGAATGCCTTGAACTGGGGGATGACTTAGCACATTTTTGGTCAGTGGAAACATCATGAAGCTGAAGACAGAATTTCAGCAACTTCAGCTGCTGGCTTGTTGGAACTTTGCATCCAATACCTGTGCAAAGAACCTTGAAAAACTATTCTTCTTTTTATATTCTATGTTTTGTTAGCTTAAAATCTGTTTTGATCATACTGCAGTGGTGGATATACCAGAAAATATCCAGCCATGTAATATGAAAACTAGAGACATTTATTGAAGAAGGCACATGATACAAGAAACATTGTACATAGGACAATGTTATCTCAGTCCCCTTCAAAGTAGGCACTTTGGGACCTCACACCGTTCTCCCAGTCACCGTCAGCTGCCCCATCAGGAGATTTTCCTGAATCTCACCAACTGTCTGAAACCTCTTCCCTTTCAAAGGTGATTTTAGTTTTAATAAGCCAGAAGTCACAGGACACCAAATCTAGGCTATAGGGGGGCTGAGTCACCTGGGTGATTGGATGTTTCACCAAAAACTCTGCATGAGACGTGATGCATGAGAAGGCACATTGTCATCATGAAACTGTCAATTACCTGTTGCCCATAGCTATGGCCTCCTGAATCATCCAAATAGTTTCTGTGGAGGAATGTTCAAGCCTAGTGCAAAATTTGTTGCAGAGTCATTGCTCTGCTCCCTCAGTCATTTTGAATGTGATACCCACACAGTACACATGCTCACTTAACAGCGTCTACTGCCCCCACTGACTAGTACAGTGAAGTCATCATTGTTCATGCATGTGCATTCCAATCCACTCTCATTGGCTGCCAGGTTACATTGATGTTGTGCAAACAGTTCTCTTTATATTAACGATGGCTGGACTTTTTCTGGACAGACCTTGCATATATTATGCATTTGTCAAAACTCATTGAATGTACAACACAAAGAATGACCTCTGTGAACTTTAGTTAATAACAATGTACCAGTTTTGACTCATCAGTTGTCACACAACATACCACACATGCAAGATGCTAATAACTGGTGAAACTGGGGGGGAGGGGGAGAGTGGTGGTGGGTAGGCAGAGAGGGCATATATTCAAACTCTGTACTTCCTGTTCACTTTTTCTATAGATATTAAACTGCTCAAAAAATAGTCTATTTTTTAAGTTATTTTGTAAATTTTATGATAAAATCACAACAGTATTAAAATTCTTTAGTGATTTTTAAATAGGCCTTTTGAAAATTGATCTATTTCCTGCTTGTTCACTGCTGAAAGATGATGTCTCAAGATGCAGTGGAGAGAAGACATGACTTTTTCCATTGTCCAAGCCTGGCCCCTGACAGCTCTCATCCAAACTCCTGGAAAATACTATCAGAGCACTGTGAAGAGTGGACCTGAAATTGCATTATATTTACGCATTTCCTCCATTTTAGCAATTTTACATGATTTTATATTTTCTCCTCAAAAAATCCTGTGAAGTAAAATTCACTCAGAATTGTTTATAATTCATTTTACATGATCTGCCAAATTTGTTTTTTTCTAATAGTTCTTTTTCAGATTTTATGTATGTACTTTTAGGGAGAGGGGAAGGGAGGGAGAAAGTGAGGGAGAGAAACATCAATGTGTGAGAGAGACACCAAGAGGTCTCCTCTTGCAGGCCTGCAACTGAGGACCTGGCCTGCAACCCAGGCATGTGCCCTGAGGGGGAATAGAACTGACAACTGTTCAGTGGCCAGTGTTCAATCCTCTGAGCCACACCAGCCAGGGCCAAATTTATTTCTAATTAACAGTATATAATATCCACTAGAGAAATAGTAAGTTATGAAGAATCAGAGAGAGGTTTTTTTTTTATTTTATAAAACAGCAAACAAGTTGTGCTGAAATACAGTAAATTTGTTAAAAATGATTGATTCCAGTTTTAACCTCTGCTACAATGGGAGATTTTTCACCATAGAAACTTCCTGGATGGTTCTCAGAAACTCTCCAGGCTAATAAGACTCCCATCAGTTATGGGAGGGCTTAGAGCAGATTTATATTAGATGTTTTGAGGAGGGAGGGCAGACTAAAGAAAGTTTGAAACAATCCTGTTTTCACAAAATATGCAGTCCACTCAGAAGGCTGAAGTTTACATTTATGACAAACATTAAGAATATGCCAAAAGCAGCTAAGAGTAAGTGCAACTGAATTCAAGAGTAAACTGTTGCTGAAAAGTTACAAATCCAGAGTTAGGAGGTGCAGAACAAAGTGGTAAACCCATGGGCTCTGGACTCCCAAAGATTCAGATTCTATTCCAGGTTGTAGAATTCAGGGCACATTATTTCACCTCTTTGGGTCAGCAAAGCACAATGAGATCCTTTAATAACTAGATTCTTAGTAAGAATGAAATAAGTAGTGGCATTAGTCATACATCCTATAAAAGGTGCATGTTTCCAAGAAGGTGGAGAGTAAGGAGACTGAATTTCAACATGAAAGTTTGTGTTTCAAAGGCAGTAGGAAGATTTTGAGGTAAGACTGAGAAAGGGAAGTTCCTTTGAGGAATTTATATAGAGTAAAATCCATGTGGTGCCGATATCACTTAGGAATAATATCTGAAGGTTCAGAGGTGGGGAGTAAAAGGTAGAAAGAGAAGTGGTTCAGGAGTCAGAAGAAGCGGGTTCTAGGCTAGGTTTACCTTAAGAATCCTAATCCCCCTCCCGATTAGCTGTGTGACTCTGGAAAGGGCAAATCTTTGCACGTGTTCACGTGTGATAATGAATGTGTGGTCTCTGAGGACCACTTAAGACCTGTGGCAAACAAGAGTTTAAGTTTCTTGGGCATAAAGTGGCTTCATTAAAACAGAAAAACAATTGCTCTACAAGATCTTTGTAGAATTGACTGGAGTGAGAAGCAGAGGAGGACCAAGAGAGAGAAAGAATTATGTTTACAGCATACTCTCACAACAGGGCAGCAGGAGTGATTGAATCTGTTCACTTGGTACAGAAATAGATATTAAGAGGGCTATGAGTGGGAAGAATGGGAATGACATTAAAATTACTGAAATTGAGAGAAAGTAATATTTCTGGAAGAAAGGAAACATGATAAACTTATTTTTTCAAAGGAATTGTGTCAGGACATGGCAGAATATTCTTAATATTGACTAATGAGCAATAAATTAGATTTAGTGATTTGATATAAGTAGAATAGATTATATTTTACATTTACTACTACTTTATCATATTAAAGATTTTCCAAAAACTGATTATAAAATTCCCATGAGAACATAAATGTCTAGGGAAAGCCAAGACAAATTTGAAGAAGAAAAATAAAAAGAAAGGATTTGCTCCATTAGATGTCATGAATTAATGTACCACTACATCAACTAAAATAATGCGGTATTAAGGGAAGGTCAACGAATATATCAATGAATATATTTCTCTCAATATCAACGAATGCAAATACCTAGTCTTACATTAGACCTCAGCGCATGCAGAGGTGACCCTAAAACCCAGCAGGCATTGCAAGTACTTCACTAACCATATGGAAAACAATATAATTAGAACTCCACCTTGCACCATACTTCAAAAAAAAAAATCAAAGTGAGTTGAAAGACACAAATGTGAACACAGAACAAAGATCTTTTTATAATTTTTAGAGGGAAGGAACTCTTCAAAAAAACCAAGCTCAGCCCTGGTGGTATAGCTCAGTGGACTGAGCACCAGCCTGCGGACAGAAAGGTCGGTTCGATTCCAGGTCAGGGCACATGCCTGGGTTGTGAGCCAGGTCCCCAGCTGGTGGAGTGTGAGAGGCAATGGATCTATGTTTCTCTTTCTCCCTCCTTTTTCCTCTTTCTAAAAATAAATAAATAAGATATTTAAAAACAAATCCCAAACTCAGAAAGTAAACATCATAAAGGAAAAGATTGATTAATTTGACTACATCATTTTTGGTGAGAATATAACTTTGGAGAGCAATCTGACAGTGTCTAAGAAAGCGGAAGACACATACACTCTAGACCCAGAAACTCCAATTGTTGTTACAGACTTTTTAAAAATTTGAATATTTCTACATAAGGAAACGTCCTGCACAGTCAATAGTGAAAAGTGGAAGCAACCTAAATGAATATCATTTGAGGAATAGATAAGTAACTAATGATGATGAATCCCATACCTGCCAAGTTTATTTAAACCTTGATCTACATGTATGGATACCGATAGAACTTATCAAAATATTAAATGTAAAAAGAAAGATTGAATATAATACCATTCATGGACATTTTAAGGACTCACAAAGACACTGTTTCCCAGTTACAGACCCCTACACATGCAGTGAAGGTGCAGACAAGAGACAGGCAGGGCAGAGTCCTGCTTTACGATGGAAGTTATTTTGCAGAGGGAGGGAGGGACACATTAACAGGGAGGGGTTTAAATATTCTTCAACTGTATGTACCACTGGTTAATTTTTAATTTTTTAATGTTGATTGATTTTAGAGAGGGAAGAAGGGAGAGAAATAGAGAAACATTAATCTGCTATTCCACCCATCTTTGTATTCACTGATTGATTCTTGCATATGCCCTGACTGAGGATCGAACCCACAAGCTTGGCATATTGGGAGGATGTTCCAACCAACCATTTATTTTTTAAAACAATAAAGAAATTCTGTTAGTATTTTAAAATTCTGACTGGTGAATAATGAATGCGTATTATATTATTGTTTATTTTTCTATATGTTTGAAATATTTCAAAATACTTAGCATTTGTAATGCACAATGGGAAAATATTATCACTCTAATAATTTAAATATTACCTATGTATAACTGTTTAAATTGTGAGGCATTATTATTACTGTTTTGGGAGTGTTTGGAAATTTTATTTCAAATTTTCAGAATAATTGTTTGCGGGGTATTAGTTCTTCATTTCCCAAATTGTTGAATAAAAATTACATGGGAAAGAAAACTTGTTATAAAACACTGATGATTGTGTCACAAAGCATTCTTAGCTTATAAGGAAATGCATTACACCGCTCTACTGCAATTTTGATCCTGAATTAAATGATCTGGAGCCATTACCAATTGCTAATATTAGTGGATTAATATAATT